GCCTAGGGCCAGGCAGCTCTGTAGATGTTCTCGTTTGCTTTCTCACACCCTGTTCACACGGGCATTTCCATGCCACCTGGAGGACGGGACAGGCTGAGGCCACGTGTGCGGGCCAGGGGGGCTGCGGCTGGACTTCACCGTCTGGAGTCTAAGCTCTTCCTTCCCTTAGACAAGGCTGTTTCTTTCAGATCAAAGGAAAAATGGCGTCTCGGTGAGGAGAACCAGGAATGAGCTGAGAGAACCGGAGTTACAAACAGTTGCCAGGAATCCTGAGCGCTGAGGAGCGGGAAACAAGCCGAGAAAGTGGGGCTCCCGTGGTTCAGTCTGGCAGGGGCGGGAGGGCGCTGAGCTGAGGAGGGGAGGCTCTGCAAAGCAGCCCCGGTGCAGAAAGAGACCTCGTTCTTCCAAGAGCTCAAAACGAGGCTCAAGGCGACGGCACGGTCTTAGAGTGGAGGCTGGAAAGCGTGAGCAACATGAAGAGGAATCCTAGCTCGGGGGAGGACCTGTCGCGGCCAGGAAGGGGCGTGGAGCACAGAACATCTGGAAGTCTGGGCTGCAGGCCTGGGCCTACTGCCTGCACCATGCAGCACAAAGTGTGCCGGCTGGGCTGGGGCACAGGGAAAGAAGATGCGCAGCGCCTGGGCTCCAGGGCCTCTGGTTCACAAATCCTGTCTTCTCCACAGGAACGCGCTCAGGGTGGTGTGAGAAAGGTGAATGGCAATGAGCTTCACTGAGCGAGGGGACGGGAGACCTGGCTGGGGCAGCGACAACCAGGGGCTGGGACTAGAGGAGAGTCCCCCGCCTCCGGCCTCTGACCCACAGGCCTGTGCTGGTTGGCGGGCCCCTTGCAGAATTCGGCTCTTGGCGGGCAGTCCCTGCGTAGACCTCGGAGATCTGAGGGCGGCTCGGCAAACCTGGAGGCTGCTCCTCGGGTTTGGCAAACTCGAGATTTTTCCAGCGCCTTGTGTTCAGCAAAACCGAAAATGTGTTTGGCTAGAAACCCTCCACTAATTTTTAAAACCCTGTGCATTTTTTACGTAAATGTGATCCACATGTTTTTGATTTATTTCTATTTAACTCATCGAGTCGAATTAGGAGCTACAATGATGAAGGGAACAATGCTGATTTCCAAGAAGGTTTTTGAGCCTCTTTTCTTAGAACTAAATCACCTCTCCCCCACCCCACCATTAAAGCTACCAGACTGAGCTGGGTTTGAAATTTAGAGCCCCAGTGTGAAATAAAGATCCATGCTTGGCAAAGACACGCACCGCACAGGAATGTTCTTAGGAAGTCACAGTTAGCAAGCCAGGATAGGGTGGGCGGGATGGAAACAGGAAGGGAGTCAGTGATTCTTCATTCGATGGTTTAAATCAATTTACCTGGCTTCCTGGGCTCCCAGCAGAAGCCCCAGCTGTTTCTCCAGGGCCTGGCTGTACCACTACCACACAGGGAAAAGGAGTCCCTGTCCCAAGATGGGGGTGGGGGTCCCCCCGTACTCCTCCATAGTAGCCAATTACAGCGGCTCCTGCTCTTCCCTCTAACCGGCCCCCCCTTCTGCCTTCCTGGCTCTGGCTAAGGCCTCTCCATCTGGAAGCACTTAAAATGTACGACAGTTTTAATCTCGTGCAAAGGAATATTGGGATCTACGCTACATACCCATTAAGCTAAATTATAGGTACACAATCTAATTTCGCACAATTCCGTCAGGCCCAGGCTGGCACACACTAAAGGCCGTTACTGTCCTTCCCAACTACTTTTCTTACTACATCAATGTTTTCTACAACTTAAGTCTGAGGTTGGCAGTACTTCTCTGAAAAACTGGCCACTGAGGTCCCACGTCAGAGGTCTCTCTTCAGAGCCCCTCCAAGCAGCGCTCAGTGGGTTCCTTGGCCATCGTCCAAAGACATTTCCTTGAAGTCGGCTTTTCTTCCCCACACACACTGATTGACTTAGACCTTGGTATAAGTACCACCCTGCTGCTTAATAACTGCAATGTGGGGGGAATTATTTCACTTCCCTGGGCCTCAATTTCCCATTCTGTAAAATGGGTATAATAATCATACATGCTTCACAGAGCTGTGAGAATTAAATAACATGCTATATATATTGAAAAACAAACAAACAACAACAAAAACCACAGTATGTTGTCTGGCCCAGACTAAGTAGTTAACAGATGCGACTTATTATTGTTATTATAAAACACTTTTTTCTACACTTCTCTAAGACCATTTACATTCTAGAGGTTGCCAGTTTCCTTTTGAATCCTTCCCATTCCTCACCAGTGTGGAAACAACGAATCCACTTCCTGCACACCAGCATCAGCGAAGACAGGTGGCCTGAGGTTTCTGATCAACCAGCTGGGAAGTTTCATCAGTCCTAGGGGAGTCTCCCACACAGGCCCAAGTTGTAAACCTACAGTCAGTCTCTTCTTGGGATCCACAGTAGCAGAGCGACTGGAAGAGCTACAATGTAACTGCACAGACATCGTTCTCAGACCAAACCAAACCTCTTCTCACTTTATATAGAAAGTGTGTGTGTGTGTGTGTGTACAGGGGCAGGGAGGGGAGCAGAATGGTTATTTGTGTTTCCTGCGACACTCCCCACCACAGGAACATGAGTCACACTTCATCTGTCCCGTTTGAAAAATAGACAGGTGATGGCTTTAATATGTCTGATAAATGCCTGTCGCCCAAGGGGGCAAATACAGAAGTCATATGTCTAGTATTTACTGTTTTTCTCTGGTCAGGAACAGTTTCAGCAGTAATTCATGGATCCTGATGTTGGCCAGAATTGAGGGACCTGGGGTCCCTGGCTTCTGAGGGACCTTGGACACTTTTATGTAGTAAGGGTGCTCATCATGCAGAATTGTTGCAAGGGCTAAAGGAGAGACATTTGCAAGCTCCTGACGAGTGGCCATTATTATTTCTACAAGCCATGCTCACCTGAAGTCCTACTGATCCCAGGATATGTGTCTTCCATGCCTAACATTTACAGAGATCTCCCTCTCGGTGGCCTCCCAACCTCCTGTGGCTGGGGCCATGCTGGATGCCTGCCCAACAACAGAAGAAGCTCCCCGGGCTCCCAGCCCTGCCAGAGGTGGGCCTAGGTGACAGCACCTCCGTCGCTCTGGAGTGGACACACAATCTGAAGGCGCGGTCGGCAGGCGGGAAAGTCACCTGCAGCTGAGTATAAAAGATTCCTCGCTGGTAATCTGGACCCGGACAGTGAGAAACTGGGTTGACTGGCCGCAGAGACGTAGAACATGGCTGGTCCCATTAATGGCAGAACACCGTCACGAAGGTGACAGACACCCACTGCTGGGTTCTCCAGGACCGCCGTGGGCCCAGAACCACCCTCCCATGAAGCCTGGCTGTTCAAGGGTTCCTCTTGTAGACGCCATAAACATCTCTTCCAATATCATCAAAATAAACATTTCCTTTTTTTTTTTTGAGTTGAGTGGGTTTGTTTTTCCTCCAACAGAAAGAGCCTTCACTAAAACAGCACCTACCCTTGGGGGGGGGGGCATGCAGATGGAGCTCTGGCTAAACATGCTGGGCATTTCCAGTGCAAGGCACTGCTTTCGCTATTAATTATACTGGAGGCAGACACCGCTGCTTCCCTCCTCCCTCCTCCCTGGCTCCCTTCTACCATAGAAAAGGGAAAAGTTAAAGCTCTCTTCCTCCCAGCCAAAGAGATGCAAGGGAGTATCTGTTGGGACAGAGAGGCTGCCCCCCGCACCTTCCCTGCAGGGAAACGTCATGCTTGGAGCCGCTGCACCAATCCTGCAACCACGAAGCGAACGTCAGACAAGGATACTCCAGCCCTGGCACATTGGAGACACTATGACAACAGCCGCCGCCCACCTGCAGCATCCTTGTTATGGGGGAAAATATGCCCCTAAACTATTAGATTTTTCCATAACTTAGAAGCAAAATCTTTGCTAAATTATATACTCTGAAACAGAACTTGATATTGCTTCCTGTATTGCAAGAAAAATGGCTTGTTAAAAAAAATAAATTTTGTTTTTTTTTACTGATTATTTTAGAGAGAGAGAAGGGAGAGATAGAAACATCGATGTGAGAGAGATACATCGATCAGTTGCCTCCTGCACGCCCCCTACTGAGGATGGAGCCCACAACCCAGGCATGTGCCCTGACCGGGATTCAAACTGGGACCTCTCGGTCCATGGGACGACGCGCAATCCACTGAGACACACTGGCTAGGCAAAAAGTAATTTTTTTTACCCAAAGTTATGACTTGCTTTTGAACTAGCTTCTCCAGACATCCACTGAATGATACCAGCTCCCTAGGTAATTAAAAATCTAAGAGGGGAGAAAGTACAGACATCAGCAACTGTGCCACAAGGCAGAGAGTGAGAACACTGGGAGGCAGCTGCTCTGTCTACACCCGGAGGAGGGGGAAAGGACTACTTCTGATCCGGGGAGGAGGAAGTCAGGGAAGTCTCCACAGGAGAAGCTTTAAAGTTAAAGGCCAGAGAAAAAGAATTTGGATGTATGGAGGTGGGCAGGAAGGGCATTCTAGGTGGAAGGAATAGTTTAAGTAAATACCGGAAACCAAAGGTCATGTGTAGGAAACAGTAAATTCCTTCCGGCTGCAGCAGGGAGCAAAGATCAGCTTAAAGGTTAAGCCTTGAATGCCAAGAAAAGGAGACCAGACTCTATGGTGGTGGTTGTCGTGTGTTGTTTAAAGCTTCTAGGCAACAGGGTCAGCGTAGTTGTTTGGAAACGTTACTTGGCAGCACCATGCGGGAGGGACTGGGGGCAGGGCATGCCAGCAGGGGGTGTGCAGCCACCTGGACGGAGGTGAGAGGGCAGCGGGCTGGTCACAGTGAGAATGGAGTGGGAAACACATGAGGGCTACTCCAGACATGCATGTGACACAAGCCGGCTACTGTCCGGATGTGGGGGGTGAGTCATGGGAGGAACAAAGTCAGAAAACACTTTACTATGCACCATAGAAACATAACCCTCATGTGGTACCTCTGGAGCTGAAGACAGGAATGGTTTTATATAGATGTTGGAGTCATGCACCTTCAGGTCATGGTCCCCCAGTCCCCTGGTCACTCCAATAGTTGCCATCACTCGGGCCTAGGAGGAAAGCAGAGGGTCATGAGAAACTCTCACGTACAGAGGAAGAAACCCCATTACAGCACAGCCGCCATGGCTGGGAGAGGAGCAATACTCTTCCAGCCCCTCTTGCCTCTCTCTCTGCACCCCTTGCTACTAATGTATGCGGGCAGCTGTTCCCAAGGAAGGGCTCGCGAAGATCACGTAGGTCCTTAACAAGTGGCTTTCCCACCAATTATCTTAAGTCTGATGGGTTGCTGTTGTCTCTTTTCAGCTTTCTTTTGTAGAGACTGGAGGGAAGGGCGTCCAATAAACTAAATCCAATACATGTGTGATGTCTACCGCCACTAATTTCAGTTAAACCAAATCCAACAGCATCCATCCATTCATCTGTCCATCTGTCCACCTGTCTGTCGTGCACCCTCTCCACAAGTACTTGCAGAACACCAGCTATGTCTCTGGTTCTGTAACGGGCTCTAGTAAAAGATGTAAAGAAGTTAGTGGCAGCTCCTATCCTCCCCAAACTCATATTTTATACCTTATGGCTGGAGAAAACAAACCATTAACAACTCGTAACCTACCCTTAGGAATTCTCCACAAATTCTGTCTGGGTGGAAAGGAACGTGTCACTTCGCTGTGACCCTACCACCTGCGCACTTTTGGTTTCCAAATGCTTTAAAGAAGCAAGACTATCACACGAATGCCTACGCAGTCAGCCCTAATGCCCCCAGATGCCACCGATTTGAGGTACCCAAACATTTCGTGAGCACTTGCTAAGTGCAGACAACATGCCGTGGGGGACAAACGTGTACGGACTTGTCCCTACCATAAAGGAATTTGGTAAAGGAGAGAAAAGGCACATGTCTAATGATATATAAAATATGGCCAAGTGTTGAAAGACATAGGTTGCGTGAGTTCAGAGGAGGCAAAAATTCTGCTGAGAAAGTTCCCGGGAGGTGGCACTAGATTTCTGTGCAGAAGGATAGGCAGCATCAAGACAGGTCAACACAGGGGGATGAAGGTCACTCTGGGTGGAATGAAGCCCAATGGCCTAACACTTGGATTGCCAATAATAATCCCATGCAGTGTCATGGCTCAAAGACCCGAGCTTGAATACGCACTGTATCGCTTGGGTAAAAAGAATAATTCATAAATGCTAAGAAACTTGACCATCTAACACATTACCATCATCTCCTTCTTGTTTCCCCAAAAGGCTGTGGAGTTTGGAGCTGGTTTCAGAGCAGAAGGTGGGCAAGCTTACACTAAGAGTGGAAGCGAAAGCATGACATGTTTTTTAAAGACAGGAATCAAAGTGGGTACAAAGCTGACACTGACGTGAAGCCTGGGGACTTCTGGTCTGGTGGCAGCAGAGACCCTCTGCTCCGCTGGGAGGCGGGAGGGGCTCCCTCCCAGCTGGGAAATGTTCAACTACGAGTGTGAAACAGTCCCTGCTGCCCGGCACCTTCTCTGGCTGGAGAAGGCACAGGTGGGCGTGTTGCTTCAAAACAAAATCTGATGTTTCTGCTAGTTACTGAATTTGTTTACAAAGTATACAGGTGCCACCCACGTAAATCCTGAAAAGCACTGGCAGAAATAACATGAAAAGTAACGCCTGGGAATGTATTCTGAAACTTCTGGGTAGGAGTATGCAGGGAGGAAAAGCCCTGTGAAGGATCCAGAAGGATCCAGACGGAAGGATGTGTTGCAAACTGTTCGGTCCTCACACAGGGTGGTGTGCCGCTCTGTGCGCTCTGTGCGGGGCGAGCCTGGGGCTGACCGCAGCCTCTGTGGCTTTTAAATCGGTCACAGCTCCGGTGGCAACTTGCCAGGTGCCCACCACCGAGTTGCCAAGCCCTAATTAACTGACATGCTCGAGGAGGGTGATGTCCTGGGAAATTGAACTTTTTCTTAACTGGGAAAACCTTGCTCCTTTAAATCTTATTGTGGACAATCTTCATTTTTTTTTTTTTAAATCCTCACCCAAGGACATTTTTGCATTTATCTTAAAATAGAGTGGGAGGGAGAGAGAGAGAGCAAAACATCGATGTGAGAGAGACACATTGAGTGGTTGCCACCCACATGACCCCAACCGGGGCCAGGGACAAACTGCAACCGAGGTACGTGCCCTTAATGGGAACGGAACCCGGGACTTTCTGGTTGGGACTCTGGTCCATGGGCCGGCACTCTAACTGTTGAGCCAAACCGGCCAGGGCTTGTTGACCATCTTCGAAGAACACATTTGTCCATTTTCCTGTTGTGTGAAGGAGAATATACTGAATGTAATTGAATAGCTTATTTAATACTCATGCATTTACTGAAGGCCTGCCATGTGTCAGGTTCCAGGCTGGGCAGTACTCGGGATACAATGATAACAGGAGGTGGTCCTGAGCTCACTGGATCTCGCTGGGCACAGTGGGGTAATACTGAGAATCTCAGCCCCACGAAGACCTCTAGGTGCAGGTGGAGATCCCGCTCTTTCTCTCAGACAGACAGACACACACACTCAAATTCTGCTCAGGAAGGCATCCTTCAGCTTTCTTATGAGTCAGTTCCTCCTGCTAAAAACTATCCAATTACGGGTAAAAATTTCAGTTGAACATTTTCTTAATGTGAGCAATTTTTTCCCCCCACTTCTAATTGGAACTCTCAGCACCTACTTGGAATGTATCCGTTTGCAGAAAGGATACAATGACTCAGAAGCTGTTTGTTCTGATTGGGAAATGGCTTCAAAGCTTCCTCATCTCCGCTGCAGGAAGGCAGCCTGCTCCGGTCTCTGCTCAGACCATTCAGAGACCGACAGCCTCCCTCCGCTTCAGCAACAGCCTGGGCCTGCTGCTCAGTGTGCGCTGGGGCCTGGGAGCAGGTGATAGTGGGCTGTGCTGTCCCAGCCCGGGCTCGGGTCTCTGTGATCCTACAGCTTAGTCACAGTGAAGCTCTGGGTCCCCTTCCACAGGGCACGTGGAGAAGCAGACTTGCAGAGTCTGAACTTCCGCAGTGGGGTGTGAGCACGTGGAGGAGGCTGAGGGCTGCGCACGGACCACCCCTCCCGGCTGGGTGACCTGCCTGAGCAGTTCCAACCTCAGTCCCAGCTGCCCCGCCTTCCACACGGGGAGTACTGCCCGCTCTGCCTGCCTGGGGCGTGTTCTCAGATACACAGTGAGGTGATGTATGTGGAAGTGGTCATGTTTACACATGGCAAAAAGCTATTCAGAGGGAAGGGAAATGTTATTTTCACAAAACTGACCTTTCTCTCCCGTGCTGGCTGCACCCCTCCCCACCCTGCGCTCCCTGGACCCTCAGCCAGGCCCGAAGGACACCGAGGCCGTGTCTCCCAGGCTGGCAAGGCTGCGGACCAGGAGCTGGGAGTGCACGGGGCTGCCAGGGGCTCTGGGCGGCGGCCTTGTTCTCCGTCTGGGGAGGCGAATGCCTACCTTCTTGCCTTCTCCGTATATTAGGGGGAACTTCAAGTCATCATCCTCAATGGTTTTGTACGCCCTGTAGGGGGATAAACAGCATTCTTTCACAGGTTTGCACTCAATCAGTGACCCACGGCCCTGACACAGGCTGCTGGGTGCTTTCCTTCCCCAGAGACACCATCCACTCAGCACACTGCCAAGTGTGCAGAAGTGCGTGTGTGTGTGTATGCGTCTGTGTGTTCACATTTTAACAAACCAGAAAATAACGAGGTTTTATAGGCCTGAAGAGGGAAAAAATAAGTTGGCATACTCATGATGAGCAAGAAGGGGAGGAGGGTTTCTGTCCTCAGCATTTAGTGCCCGTGACGATGGCGGGCCCCGGCAGCAGTGCCAGGGTCTAGTCGCTAGTCTGAAACTGTGAGACCCCGTGGAGTTCCGAGACGGGCGGGCGGGCGTGGAAATGCTCCGGGAGCCAGTTCTCGCCTCCGGGGCTGTTTCCAAAGCGGCTCGCTAGGATGGCTGCAGGAGGGGAATGTAGAGCCTGTTTGACCTCAGGACGGTATTCAAGGATGACAGAGAATTCTCCGCTTCCCAATAGCTATTAAATGGCCATTGGACACACAGGAGGAAAACCCGGTTTACGCTTCAGTGGTTGATTTTGGCCGGGGTTGTGCAGAGGCCGCGCGGACGAGGCGGAAGCCGGCCCGGCGAGGCCGAGAGCGAATGAAGCCCGTGTCTTGCAGTTCTGCACAGAAGGAATTTAAAAAACAAGCAAACATGGCACCCGATTACTAGCTGCACCCCAGGCAAGTAGCTCCACCTTTTCTGGTCTCCGTTTCCTCATCTAAAAACTGAGGACAATCACACAGGAGGTAAACAGCTTAGTACAGAGCCTGGCACTTAGGAAGTACTCAATTAGTGGTAGCTATTACTAATATTTAGTAGATAATTAATACTTGGCACACCAGTTCCCCTTTCTTCAAAATGGGGATGGCACTACCTATTCACCTCCTCAAAGAAGTAATAGGGCCCGGCCGGTGTGGCTCAGTGGACTGAGCGTCCTCCTGTGGACTGAGAGGTCCTGGTTCAATTCCCAGTCAGGACAGGACACATGCCTGGGTTGTGGGCTCGATCCCCATAGGGAGTTTGTAGGATCAATGTTTCTATCTCTTCCTATCTCTCTCAAAACTCAATTAAAAAATATATATATATATGTATTAGGAATACGAAGTAAAAACTGGGGTAGGTTCTATTAGGTTAGGTTCTAGAAGCAAAATGCTTTTTTAAAATAATGTCTCCTGAGTACATGAAAAAAACTAAACTATGAAATGGCCTCCCAGCCCTGGATGTATCCAGGCAACTTGGGAGTGACGCTGAAACCAGACTTACAGAAGCTCTCGATATGCAAAAGAATGCAACCCAATTTAAAAAGAGTGCAACCCCAAAGCTATAGCAGGCATAGCCTCACTTTCCGGGAAGTTACTTGGTTCCGCTGCTCCTTGCCAGGGGGTTGGGTGGGCTCAGTTTCTGTGCCGCCCTGGGCAAGCAGATGAGCCTCTCTGGACCTCAGGATCCTCAGTGATCAAACAGGGCAAACACCAGGCTCTCGCGTGGGCTTGCTGTGAGGGTTCCAACGGGCCAAGAATGTGCCCAGCTGAGGAAAGTATTTATCACGGTGCCTGGCGCATGCTGTGACCTGGTGCGTGCTGCTGTCCAGTGAGCCCAGCGGTGCTCTAGAATTGGTTTGTCAAAAACAGAACCTCCCATCCCTAAATCTACCAAATTTACACACAGTGGAAATAGCTCCTTAAATGTTTTATACTCACACAGACTATTTAAAACATTGTAGTAGACAAGGCACTGGGGGACAAATAGAGCTATTATTAAAACAGACTCAGCTGGGGGTTGAATGAGTCCACAGGCCAGCGGTTCTCAGCCTGGGCTGCACATTCAGTCACCTGGGAGGGCCTTAGCTTACCCCAGTGCCCAGGTCGCACCGCAGAGCAACGCGATCTGAACCTCGGGGGACGGGACCCGGGCATCGGGACGCTCTTTAGGCCTCCCAGGTGTGCAGCTAAGGTTGAGGATGACAGCTGTGTCGTTAGCTAACGTTCAAATTCAGTGGAGCGATAGCCCGTCAGCTTGGCCCCAAAGGTGACAGACTCTGGCTCAGGGGAGAGAGGGCAGCGGCCCGAGAAAGCCTCCGAATGAGCAGACGCAGGACTTGGGAGCACGGAGAAGGAGGTGTGGAGTGGAGACAGGCTCAGACCGGGAGGCCGCAGCGGGGACAGTGCCCAGAAGGGCTGGGCCAGGAGATCCCGGCACAAGAGTCTGGGGCTCAGTGGGAGGCAGAAGGCAGCGGCTTGAGAATCAGAGACGAGAAACGACTTAGAGCTCGGGAGAGAGGAGCTAAGAGCCCTCTTCTCAGGCCTGAAAAAGCCACGAGAAAACAGTCCTCTGTCTCCCCACAAGCCCAGGGAATCGGATTCCCCCAGGGCCGAGAACTTGAGGAGCGTGAAGTCTGAGTCACCACAGCTGAGGGACAGACATTCATCTTGGAACAGTCACCCACAGGGTCAAGACGATTGTAAGTTCTGATACTGTATTTTAGCTCCTGTTTCTTCATCTTGAAGAACAACAAACAAACTCAAAACAGAGGACACAACTCTGGGTGAGGACACAACTCTGGGTGAGGAAGGGTGTTTCTGTTCCTGCCGTTGTTGGTTTTCAATCAAATGGGAGCCCTCTCCTCTCCCCTCACCCCCAGATGCCAAGGAGAACAACCAGATAAAGAGAGAAAGCCCAACACGCCTCGATCTTTCCGATCCTAAGCACAGGTCGTCATGAAGGCAGCTGGACTTCCTTCCATAGTTAAAGTCTTGGATAATAAAGAATAAAATACTCAAGAGTTAAAACAGGTAACTTGATTAAAGTCGGTATAAATTAATGCCAGCTAATAACAGGGCAGCGGCTACGATTTACTGAGCACCTCCTACAGGCCGAACACCGGGCGTGGTGTTTGCTCGCAGTCTGCGGTCACTCGAAGACGCCGCGCTGTCCTCGCTTACAGGAGAGGGGCCGGAGGCGCAGGAGGTTAGTTACTCTGCCCAGACCACACACCATGTGAGTGGCCCTAACGCTAAACTCAGACTTTCCCAGAAAACACACCAAAGCAATGTGGTGCCGGGCCTCAGCCCTGGGGGTCCGCGTCCCAGGTGAAGTCTCAAGGACACCCTTGTTGTCCACCTCTCAGCGGGCGGAAAGCAGGCACCTGATGAAGGTGGGCTGACAAAAGAGGAAGGAGAATTTTTTGTATGAGGCAAAAGCATAAAAGGTGACCATGTGTGGACAGGACTGGCCGCTGTTGTACAACAGTCTGCAAGGAAGAACAGAGGAAAGTTGGGAACGCGACTGTTCCCGACCTGCCATGTGTCCCAGGTCACCGAGCCTGAGCCCAGACAGCAGGGCTCCTCAGTCTGTGCCCACAGTCCAAGGGGCCCCCCAGTTTCTGCCCACCCCAAAGGCCTGCCTGCGGTTCATACTTCATTACAGTCCCCATCGGGGCTGTGGGCTTGAATCTACGCTTCCAGCTCGGCCCTGGCGTCCGCCCTCCTCAGCTGGGGGAGGCGAGAAGGACACAGGCTTGAAGCTTGAGATCCGGGATGCGGAGCTACTTGTGCCTGGAGAGGAATAAAAAAATGTACATTCTTGCACATCAGATCCTACGATTTCTGAAATCCTGATGACATTTTTAAAAATAACTCCAATAACAGATTACTCACTGGTTTTACAATAATCTAACTGGCCAGAGATAATATTCAAATAATTACTTGAAGCACAGCTGAAAGGCTTAGGAAAGATGTTTAGAATAACTCTTATTTTGGGTCAATTCCTCCATGAATTTTTATGAGGCCAACGGACAAAAAGGTGAGGTGAGGAAAAAATGCTTTAAAAGGCCAAGTCAAAGGGCTTCTCTAACTCAAGCCTCCCCTCAGGAGACTGCACTAGACACTGTTTCCAAAGCGACAGTCTCCCCTGCAATGATGATCCTGCGAAGCGGAAAAGACGAGGTCCTGCTGTCTCGGGCCCATCGGAAGGCTGGAAGGCAAAGCGCTGGAACCGACGGAAAGCCCACCAAGTCGGCTGCACCCCAACTGCAGGAACCCTCCCTGCAACACACCTCATATCGGTCCCTGCTTCTGTCATCAAGTGGGCCGTTCCAGACAGTCTCTATCCGAGGACCCTGACAGTACCCAACGCTCACTCCGCTGAAGAACAGCCCAGGTCATTTCTTAACTCGCCCCAAACAGCCACCCGTTGGTGTTGGTCTGTCTTCTGGAAAAACATGAAATAAATCTAGTCTCTTCTACTTGAGAGCTCTGCTAATGTTTGACGAGAGCGACCCCAAAGTCTCCTCTTCCCTAGTTCCTTCGGCTGTACTTCACCAGACCTGGGGCACCATCCCTCAGCCCTCAAGTCACCGTCCACCCAAATATTTCTTAACTGAGCATCAAATGCCGGCAGGGCGGTCTGGGGCCTTCTGGCTTGTCCGCGTCAGGGAACGGCTCTCAGATCGAAAACACGTATGATCTGGTCCACGTAAGAATGAAAGGATTACTTCCTGTATGCAGACCTTGTTCTTTCTAAATCACTGCAGCTTATATTTACATCATGTGCATGTCCACATGTCTGGGTAAATGTGGTTTAGGGTCATATGTTGAAATGATGAGTGAAAACAGAAAACCAACCAACCCCAAACCCCCATCGGTCCACAAGAAACGTGTGGGAGGGATTCATGGTCTCTGGTGGTTTATACTCACACAGTGGTTATCTTACTCTGAATGAAAACTCCACTGCCCTTATTAATTTTATGTTGTTGGTTTCGGTCCATTGTCCCAACCCACCAGAGATGTCTGAATTCATATACTCTCATTCGAAATATCAGCTCTCCTTTGCTGTGTCATGTTAAATTTGATAAGTAGCTCTGCTCTCTTCCTCCAAGATTTGGAAGAAGTGCTAAGCAGAACCAAGTCATTGGAGACCTTGCTCCAGGCCAAGCTAACAGACACGGGTACAGCA